CTGGTGCGCAAGAAGGCCATTCGCAGCAAGGTGATCCGCTCCGGGGCCTACCGAGCCTGCACCTATGAGACACAGCTGCAGCTGTCGGCTCGGGAGGCCTGTGAGTTGTGGGAGTGCCCCTGCCCCTGTGCCCCAGGGCTGGCGGAGGCCAGTGCCTGCATGCTCTTGCCAGGCTGTGGCTGTACCCCATGGAGGCCTGTGTATGAGTGCGTGTGCATGTGGGTCCCTGGGTGTGTGTGTGCCTCTGGGCTTGCGGGGTGGTGTGAACTTTAACTGGGGAGTGGGTGTGAGTGGGACTGTGGTGTCTGCAGGGGGCTGGGTGTGCACCTTTTGGGCGGGGAGGGAGGCTTGGTTTGGAGACAGATGATGGGGAGAGGACCTGTAGTGGTTGGGCAGGCCGGCGGACATGGAGGGATCTGGCCACTCTCCCTTTGACCCCTGGGTGGTCTCCATAGTTCCTGCTGCATGGGAGGCATGGCCCCGCACTCCTGGTGGTCCCTCGTGCCTGGTGGAGAGTGAGGGCAGCCTGACAGAGAACATCTGGGCCTTTGCTGGCATCTCCAGGTAGGAGGGAACTGGCCTGGCCTAATGTCCAGTTCCTTGGGTTGGGCAGAGAACTGGCAGGGGGCCCCTGCAGACCATGACATGTGTGCAGCCCTGTGTGGGGGCAGAATGACCTGGCTTTGGTGACGTCAGGCCTGTCACAGGCCAGCCTCTTCCTAGAAGTCAGCTCTTTAAACCTCTCTCCTGATGGGGTCTCAGAGGACCCCTGGGGAATCTTTGAGCTCCTGAGAGCTCCTTCTCATTGACTAGCAACTCTGGGCCAAGTACTGTTGTGGTTTTTTGTTTTTCTTTTTTCCAGTGTTGGGGGGGGGTAGATCAGGCTGGGGACGCTTTGCCACTGAGTGACATCCCCAGACTTTACCTCTCTTTTTGGGGAACAGGGTTTCACTTGGTTGCTGAGACTGGCCTCAATCTTCTGATCCTTCTGCTTCAGCCTCCCGAGTAGCTGGGATCATAGGCCTGCACCACGTAGCCCAGCCAGGTGCTGCATGTGGAAGGCATTTATTACTTCCCAGGCTGCCTCCGTGCTATTGGGGTTCTGTCCCTCCCCAAAGCAGCAGCCTGGGGCTGAGACCAGAGCAGGGCTCTAACTTCAGCGTCTTGCTCTGCACCCCAGGCCCTGCGCACTGGCCCTGCTACGGAGAGACGTGCTAGGAGCCTTCCTGTTGTGGCCTGAGCCAGGCACCAATGGCCAGTGGTGCCTGTCTGTGAGGACGCAATGCGGGGTGGTGCCCCACCAGGTCTTCCGGAACCATCTGGGCCGCTACTGTCTAGAGGTAAGAAGGAGGCCCCTGTCCCTGCCCTGTCCCATCTCTGGCTCTGCCTCTTGCCATGATGCCCCACCTTTTCCTAATTGGTGACTTCCTGAGTCTACCTCACATCCTGTTTGACTTTCTCTGGCCCCACCCTAATCCCACTTTCCACCCCCTTCCTCTGCCTGCCTTGCTTTCCCACACCATAGCCCATCTTTAACAGAGGAGGATACTGACTCAGAGAAGACAGGGACTTGCCTGAACTCACACAGCCTCTGGGATGGGGTAGTGAGGCTTTTCACACGTGTGCTCATACTTCCAAGATGAATGCCTCAGTCCTTCCCAGGTTGGGAAGAGAGAGGAAGTGGTGTCTGGCCCTGCCATGACATCATAACTCGAAGCTCTGATTTCTTGCTCTCTAAAATGGGTCCCTGGGGGACAGGGCACTGGTGTGAGCCTAGGGCAGGGAACTGGAGCTGAAGACCCTTCCTCCCCAGCACCTGCCTGCAGAGTTCCCCAGCCTGGAGGCCCTGGTGGAGAGCCACTCTGGGACTGAGCGCAGCCTCTTCTGTCCCCTCGATATGGGCCGCCGGAACCCCACCTACGAGGAGCAGGACAGTGGGCCTGAGGGCAGGCCCCTGCGGACTCTCCGGCCCCTGGGCCATGCCAAGTCTGAGGCTGAACTTCAGGGCCTGGGCTAGGCCCTGCTCCAGGACTCCCTTACCCAGCCCCCAGGCCTTCATAGCTGCTCTGCTCTCCCTGCTCCCCACTGGCCACCATTCCATCGGTCTCTGCCCCGGATCACTTTTCCATTGCTTTGCTGCCCGTGGGAGGGGAGCCCTGACATTGGAGATTTTTCAGTGGCTTCTCATAGGACACGTAGTCGTTCGAGGTTCCAGGCGGAGCTACAGGGGTTCCATATCTTCTGAATGGCTTTGGGGCTTGTCCTGGCTTCCACACTGCTCCTCCACAGAGCTCTCCGAGGGTTAGGAGGCTTGCTCACCAGCAGAGGTGCAGCCTTTCCTAAAGAGACCAGGTCTCTGGAGAGCTCCCAACAGGAACCAGACACAGAGGGAGTGTGAGTGCACCAGCTCCGCTAGCCATTTGGCTGCCAGGGCCCAGGGTGCATCTGCAGTTAGCTGCAGACTGCAGTCAGTTTGGTGGCTGCCTTGGGAAGCCACCTGATGCTGGCATTTCCTTTATGCAGTGCTGACCACAGCCATCAGGGGCTGCCCCACTTACCAGGCCAGTCCCACTGGGGATGGGCAGGGCAGAACCATCCACAGGTAGAAGTAATGTGAGCCCTGCTAGAGGAGGCCTGGCCTCAGCTGGCTATGGGAGATGCAGGAACCATCCTAGTGTGACTGACGAGTCCAGGGATCCCCTTCATCAGTAAGCTCACTGACAAATGTGAATCTGCCCGATTAAGTGCTGGGACAAGTTCATTTTGGATGAACTTCTATCCTGAGGCAGAGGCCCAGTCATGTGTCTGGGGACCACCATCTTCCCATCTGGGGTTGGCATGTGCCTGTTCAGTGCCTTGAAGGTAATGTATTTCAGACTTCCTGAGGGAGAAGGCAGCACCAGCAGGATAGAAAGAAGGGAGGCACCCCGGGAGGGAGAAGGTGGCCTCTTGGAGGGTCAGGCCTGTGGTGTCTGCATCTAGCCCCTCACCAGGACATGATCTGGCCAGGGACCTTGTCAAGTGAGGTGTCCATTTCAAGGAATAGAGGGGACATGTCCTCAGGGACTTGTCACTGGAAACGTGCCTGACTTCATCTGAATGGAGGTGGGAAGCTGGGACTCCGCAGCCACCCCCGAAACCCACCCACTGCCCCTGCAGAGCACTGGCCGGCTGTGGGAGTCCCCAGCTCCGAGAGGGATTTAGTGATGCCTTGGGCCTAGGACAGGAGCATCAGAGATGTGCACTTAAGGGAACCAGTGATAGGCCCAGACTTGGGCATGGCTCATCTCTGGGAGGGCTGGGTTTTTTGTGTCAATTACCTGTGTGGACAAGAGATTGGGGGGAGGGGACGTGTTCAGCACACTGAAGGGACAGTCCTTCCCCAAGCTCTTTGACATTCTTCAAACGGCCTTTATAGGTGACATGTTAAAAAAGGGGCAAGATTTTTGGCCCACGCTTGCGGGCTCCCCATGTCTTGATTAGAGACCACATTTTTGTCCTTGTTCCTACCAGTGCCACTGGAGAGCCCAGCTTTCCTTACTGTGTGGACTTTCAAACAAATAAAACTCATGTCTTCAGATGGTCTAGTGCAGACTTTTCTTTAGGAGGCATGGTCTTCATCTACCTCACCTGTTGGTTTTTGTCATAGTCAGCTGGTGCAGGGTGGGACGCCAGATAGAGGTTTTGTCCTCAAGGGCTCAGAATGTCCAGAAGGACCATAGGTAGGTGGGTTTAACCAAATCATATCCTTCTTCTGCTTTAAACCCCTTAAGGGAAAAGATTCAGCACCTCGTGCTCCAGCAGCTTGCCATAGGACCTTTGCGCAGCCCAGACAGGTCTCACTGACCCCCTTCCCTTTGCTTGATTCAGCTCCTCAACTGTCATGTTTTAGCTCCAGTCAGTCTCAGGATACCTGACCCGACTGCCTAGACTTAAGTCCCTCCCCACACTTCCTGCTGTGCTGGGCCTTTTAGCTGCCAGACAAGTGCTCTACCATTGAGAGGCATCCCCAGAGGATCCCCTGTTAGTTGTCCCACCAACTGGTTCTTCAGTTTGTAATTGCGTTCACTGATGGGATTTTGTGGGGGGTTGTTTTCAGAGTCAGTCTCCCCCGCCAGACTCCGGCCTGCAGGAGGGCTGTCTCCCCCACACCTGGCACCAAACTGACACTGCTTCTGTGCCGGGGGACGTTGCGCAGAGCCAGTCTGGTAGGGCCAGGTGGCCTTCGCAGCCCAAAGACTTTGGCTCAAGTTTTTTTGTTTGTTTTAAAATCTTGAGTTTAAGAAAGAACAGGGTGGCATCAGAGGAGGCCTCGAGCTGTGAACGCTGCGGGCTCTGGGCGGCCTTCCCCCGGGTCCACACGCAGGTGAGGACAGAGGACTCCTCGGTCGCCTGACCCTGCGTGAGGCCTCGCTCCCGAGAGCTCTCGCCCCGAGGTGACACAGGTCTCACTGACCCCCTTCC